AAAAATATGTGCACCTTTATATTAAAAATTAAAATTAAAAAATAGTGAAAGTTACAACGACGCGCCACGAATATGGCACACTAGGCTGGGGGCGTTAGTGTTATATAATCAGCTCTGCCCTCCGTAGCATAAGGAGATCGTGGGTTATTACTCGCTAATCATACTACGTATTCATCATCGGCGTTCAGGGTCGCTCTCCTTGTGGGTCCGGGAAGAGCTGTCGTATTGCCTCAGCATGCGAGGGGTTGAGCAGGTCGATGAAGATACCGTCGTAGGCGTCCTTGACGCCGTGGAAGGCCTCGTCTGCCCATCGAGATAGCCCATCCGCTTCATCACCAGCACCTCTCCACGCTTAGAAGCCGGGACGCGTGACAACGCCTGAGCGGCAATCCTCCTGTTGCGAGTCGACAACTTTGGTTGTGCCACGACATCTGGCTGAGGCAGCTGCGGTGAACGGCTTTAACCTCTTGGCGGTGGAGCTCCCGCGTTCGGCTGGCCAGGGAGGAGTTGCCATGTCCGAGGCTGGGGGCATGGCCCTGGGCTTCGTGGGCGTGCCTCATCGTCCACGACGGCGGGCTGTCCCCCTCACGGTGGCAGGGAGGGGGTGGCCACGTCCTTGCCTGGGGGTACGTTGTTGGAGCACACCTCGGCCTCCATGGCGTCTGCCGCCCGATTTCTTACGTAGTCAATGGTGGAGAGAAGTTTCTATACAGAGAACTCTCTCATAAAGATCTTATCCTTGGGGACATTGTTTCTCTGAAATGGCCATGAGTGGTCAGTGTCCACGGTGTTCCGGGATGTTTGTCAAACAATATTATTTTAATAAGTAAGTGCAAATCGAGATGGTGTTATGAAAAATCTGCAAGAATAAATGCCTATCGGCACTTGGAAAGCCGATTGGACACTTATCGGCTATTGGTCAGCCCATATGGTCATATCGACGCCTTGGAGGCCGATTAGTGGCGCCACGTAAATGTAAGAATAGCCACGTCAAAGTTTTCTGTGCCGACAGGCATATCGGCATCCCAAGGACCGACTGGACATCGAACTACCATCTCTGCCTTCCTGTAGTCGATAAGCCGCAGGCTCAGCCACAGCAGGTACTCTAGGGTCCAGTCATTCCTTTCGATCCCATTTACATTTACAATGTTGGTTTATTTCGTTACCTTTGCATTTACCGGTACGACTGTTGCATGTGCTTTTTGGCATTTAGATGCCTCCGTTGGAATCCATGAACGAGACGGCAGTTGAGTACTGATGGAACTGGACATCGGGTCACGCACACTCACCCCTATGAATGCACGCACGCAAGCCTAAGGTGTTATTGAGGCTCTTGTAACCACTAGCCTACAGGCCCTTTCGCGGACATCTCGAGTATTTCAATTTCCAAGAATTCATTTCTAATAAAATTTGAATATGGATATATGTATTCATATTCATATTAATATTCAGTTTATAATATAGTGGGAGATTTAAAACATCGCAAATGATTAATGACTATTGAAATAAAAACTAATATTTTAAAAAGAGCATGTCACAACTAAAATTTTAGTAACTCGCGTTTTAGTCACGCCAAATGCCGTACTGCAACTCGTCACTACAGTCAAGCTAAATAAATTGGCGTGACTAACTAACCATGCTAGCGCATCCAGACAACACTTTACGTGTCCAGGAGTAGTGGAGCTGACGAAGTCCAAGGCTGAGCGAAAGGACCCAGAGGGCACCTCGAATAGATGGCGATCTACTGTGGCCTCAGAGTCCTCGTGGCGGGATCAAGGGCTGCCCATCGAGTTGATCAGTTGGTTGGGTGTGGTGGAACCTGTCCGTCTAGGTTTAAGTCCTCGACTTGGCACGGGTAATCGCATTTTTCTAGATTTATTCCAGGATTTAACGGTGCTACCACTTTCAGTAGTAGGTGACGTCCACGTCAACAGTGGGCCGCATGTGATGACTTCGTGAATTTCGAGACCGGGTTTGCGCTTTGTTTTTTATGCGCTACGTAGGCTGGCGGCAGTTCAATAGGCGACAGGTGGCTGTCGGCCACTGGATAGCTGATAGGAAGCTAGTTGTGCAATTTTGTAGAATGAACACCTAGATTTGCAATTATTTATTAAAATAATATTATTTGAATAAAATTTCCCAGGATGCAGGCATTGGTGTCCTCCTGCAAAACTCACTGACACTGTCTTGATCACTGCATTACATGAGCAATGAAGTTCAGGAAACGTTTCATAGAACAAATAAATTTTCATAGCTGTACAAGTTTACATAGGACAGAATAATACATGGAACGTCAAAACAGCGAAGATTACAACCATGACGAGATTAGTGTGCTTGGAAGGATTGTGCAAAAATGAGAACAGAATTTTTTTAAATGAACCAATCAGGAGAGCTACCAATTTATATTAATAAAGAAGCAGGCCCAAACTGAACAAACAACGGCCTTGGATGAAGTAAACAACAGAAACTACAACCGGGAGAACTCAAAACAACAGAAACAACCACATGAAAAAAAATGAGAACAGGAAATGGAACATCTTCTTGTCCACTTACATCGGTTCAGCGCTGTTGTAGAAGCTCTGTATGAATGCCAGCCTCCCAGAGCATTGTCTCCTATCGAACTGACTAGCGTTCATATTTCCAACCAATGTAAATCCTCGGCCAGTCTCGGAGCGACCTGGCTCGAATCTTCAGTAATGGCCACATGAGCTGACAAAAAAAGGATCAATTCAGTCTCCAGCGTTAGTGAAGAAGTCATGATGACCGGCAAGCAGAGTGTTGATACCAGCAGAACAAGAAACAGAAATTGAATTGATAGGGTCGTCTGCATTCACCTCATATGCCAACATCAGGTCAGGGAAGACTTCCTAACTTTGCTCAGTGTAGCCTCAGTGACAGGCGACAGGTGGAACTTGGTTTCAGATAAGTTACCAGGGAGTTGCTGCTTGCCGAATGCTGACTGCTGTGCTCAAATGTGATTTTTTTTCCACACACGTGTCTTAGCACATGTTTCGTTAAGAGAAAAAGAGTTACACGACACAGCTACGAGAAAACCCCCATAGCATTGATTACAAACCACCAATCCAATGGTAAGCGACATAGAATAAACTAATAAAGCAGGAAATAAAAAGAGCGATGGGAAAGGTACCCTCAATTGTAAAATCCTACTAAGCCTAGTAATATCTGGTCTATTAGTAGTGTACAACATTTGGTGTTGGATTAATTGGGCTTGGCCCATAACTAGTCTAGCAATTAATCAAAGAATTCCAAAGACCTAGAATAAGTGTTAAGTGGAAGTGAGATTAGAACCACACATAGTTAAAGTTGAGCATGCAACTCGGGGCCGAAGGCATGGCACGGAGCCCTTTTTTTTGGCCCACCCCAAGCATGGCCCGGCCCGGCCTCCACCGGGCCCGTGCCAGGCACGGCACGATCCATAGGCCGTGCTTGGGCCGCCAACTCAGCCCGCCGGGCGGCCCGGACCGGTCCGTTTCAGTGGAAGCTGCTGCTGGTGCTGGTTCTAGTGCTGGTTGAGTGTTGCTGCTGAGTGTTGAGTGACAGTGTGTGAGTCAGTGAGTGTGAGTGGTGAATTAGTCAGACATTTGAAACTATGGCTTGTAATAACTTTGAACAATTCAATTTGAAAATGAACTGGCCGTACTTTTTTTCCTTTCTAGGGTTTCTCATGAGGTGAGTTTTACCTAGAAAGGTTTTTAATGAGGCGACATTGCACAAACAGCTCAAAATTTCCTTATCATGTCTTTTGTTTACTTGTTGTTTGCCTGTTTTCATAACTTGGATTGATCTGTTGTTGAACTTGAATTCATCAGTGAGACTTGTATTGTATTGATCAAATCTGATAGTTGTATTGTATTGATCAAATCTGAGAATTGTATTGATCTATTGTTGAACTTGAAAATCTGAGAGTTGTACTGATCTAGTTGAACTTAGACAAGCTGTGGGAGGTGTTTTTGTGATCGCGGGCTTCGGGCTGGCCCGGTGCGGTTTTGGGCCATGCTTTTCGGGCTGACACGGCCCAAAAAACGGCCTGACATGCCATGCCTGGGCCGTCAGTCAGGCACGGTGGACTGGGGCGGCACAGCCCGGTGGCCTGAAGGGCCATACTGTACCGTGCCTGGCACGGGCCTGGGCTGGGCCGTGCCATGCTGGGCGGCCTGAATGTTCATCTTTACACATTGTATACCCATTAAGAAGGTGCTCAACTTAAATGGGAAGCTAGTGTGCTCATATAGACAAGTTGAGGAGGAGAGTTGGGAGGCCACAGACATGCGCCGCTGTGCTCTGCCGCGGCCTTGCGGACGTGATGTGCTGAGCCATCTTTTGCGGCTCAGTGCTACAGTCAGTTACGGGCATATAATGGATAAATGGGTGGGCGCAGAAGGGCAAATGGCACTACAAGAGATGTTACCTTCTATGACGGCTCATTTAGGTCACAAATAGAGGGATTTTACGTCACCATAATACGCTCTGTGGCGATGCAGTGACAAAATACCTATCGTCACCGAAGGTGCGTGTTAAAGCACCTTCCATGACGATTGAGAGTATATCGTCACTGAGTTGGTGACAGCAATATTTTCATCACCAGCAATAATGACGATCATTATTGTCATTAAAATTGTCATGAAATCTCAACTAGGCAACTACCATGTGTGCCTATGCAGTGACAATATTAACCATACAATTGAATTCAACAAATGACAGCCTAGTCAACATCCATTCAACATCTTAGAAGCAACAATCTCAACCATACATGCAGCTCATTCATACATCCATCTCAGTCATACATAACAACTTGGAAGTGTGAAATAGTTTGCAAGCTAAAGCAATACTAAGTTCATAGTTTGTATTGCAGCAGCCACAAGCACACCAAAATGCTACAGAGTTCACCAAAGACTCTTACCAGCACAAATTCTAGGGATAGATACAAAAGGCATAATTGAACCAACTCGCCTGGATGCATATCTAGATGACGAGGATGCTCACAAATTATAGGGAGGAGTGACTTGACCCTGATTGAAGTGAAGAATCAACTGTCGAAGGAGGGCATGAGTTTCTTGCTGTTCCTTCTTCAAGCTGTCAATTTCATGTGCTTGGCTAGCCACCTCTTGCTTAAGTTGTGCAGATTCTTGCTTAAGTTGCGCAGATTCTTGCTCATTAGCCTCAAGTTGAGCCTGTAGCTCCCACACCTGTGAACTAACTGCACTTCTACTACTTGGCTTGGAGATTGGTAGCCCCACATTTTGAAGAAATGTGCTTGACTTCGGCAGCACCTTGGAAACAATTTCAATAGAAGACATCGACTTCTGGCCTTCTTGCATTGGTTTAGCCTCAATTGCTTCCATAGCAGCCTAGCAACATAATGATACAAAAATTAGTATTGACTTTGGTACAGATATCTAGCAGTATAGGAAAAATAACCTATAATAATACTTTACAGAGAACTAAAAAATGACCTTACTTTAGCCAAAATAGCCTCAAACATCGTTTCAAGCATGTATGAAGTTAAACTCAAACAAGAGCTAAAAGCAGTACATGAAGGAAAAGACAGTATACTTATAGTATATCATATTTGAATTCAGAAGACTATATACACCCAACTTGGGAAATGAATCATGTAACAAAGTAGTCATGCAAAAAGTATATCATAACTCTTGCAACATCATTTCTGACAATAGCAAAAACAGCCCACAATCATTTCCAATCATGAAGTAAAGGCAATAGCTGCAGCCGGTGCTGCGTGCACAGTTCAGATTTGAAAGGTTCAGATTCTATGCATCAGATTTCAATGGTTCAGATTATAAGCAGCATGCAGCAACAGCTGCAGCACAAGAAGTGCAGCCGATCAGGCCAAATATTCAAGTTGACTTTCAAGTATGTCTTGCAGAAGAGGGGAACAGTACTTACAATTGCATTTTTGACAGGCTCACAAAAACCACTTTTCTTGCTGCAATGCATCTCCTTGAACAAATCAATTGCAGTGGGCTCTGTGTCTTTATATTTTTCTTGTTTCTTATTAGCTTGAACCAATTTCATGGTTTCTTATTTCAAACAATGTGCAGAAGACTTTATCTATAATTCATGTAAATTAGAAGATCAGCAACAAGATCACATAACATTAAATTTGTCCTACCGTGACATAGGCATGTGCAATGTAACATCGAGAACCTATACGCTGATGGAAATGGACTTTCGCATGATTAACTTGGTTTTTGACATAAGTGTCCTGTACACCACACAAATTTGTAAGCTAAAGGAAACAAAAACAAGTACTAAAAAAGGACTACAAATGCCATTAAAATCTGAACTGTCTAGATATGTACACATTTATCAGCAACATCACCAATGTCATACCTTGTGTTTTGGGTTGGACCACATCTCCACTAATGCTCTCCATTGATCATCAGTCATACACGTCACAGGTGACGTTGTCCTCACTAGATTTGCTAGAACTCCATCAAAGTACTTTTTTAGCCTATGCCTCATCTGACGTTGTCCACCCTTTAGCATGTCAACACAAGCAGCTCGTACAGCCACACTATTAGTGTCCATGTCAAATGGGATCTAGTAAAAAAATAGAGATTAGATTTGAAAACGAAAAGGACACAATGAACTATGATTGAACAAGTCAAATAGATATTGACTTGTAGCAACTTTGCCAATGTAGGCTTCAACAAGATGTTTATTATGTTTCTTCTTGTACTCCTTCCAGTGTGGAAAGATAGGTGTAAGCAGCCTGAGTGAGATCCCAGCCTCTGATGCAAGTTTTGCAGCTTGCATTGGTGCCTCCAGCCTTCTATTCCCTTCAGTAATGTCAGTTTTAATCTTTGTCCCTAGCCCTCTATTCTCAGCCTAGGCACATTTTACCCGAAACCCGAAAACCGAACCGAACCGACCCGAACCGCACCGAAATATCAGTTTTTTCGGTTGTTCGGTTCGGTTTCGATTCTATCTGGGGAACTTGACCCGTGGTCGACTTCCGGTTCTGATGTTCACCGAACTGAACACCGAAATCAACCGAACTGCAATCGCAAGGACTCCAAATCACAGGCTGAGGTGTCCATGGCAGAGGCTACCAGCAGCCCAAACCAAAGGCCCAACGGTGAACACACACACATCAGCCTAAAATAGTGAAACCCTATCCACACCACACATGAGTCTCGACGGCAACAAAGCCGGCGGCGGCGTGGCCGGGCCATTGCCATTGGCGCCTACTGACGGCGTCGGAGCGCGGCGGCGGCAAGCGTGGGTGAGGTGTCGCAATCTGGCGGGGGAGGCGAGGTGGGGCTACGCGTCCGGCCGCGTGGGCAATCTGCGGCGAAGCGGGCGCAGCGGCAAAGCTGGTGAGTGGGGGCTCGGCGCGCCAGCAGCGTGCGAGCGGCTGAGCGAAGCGGCGGCGCGACCGCCAGCCATGCGTGGCGGCGCAATTTGGCCAGGCGACAGCTGCGAGCAGCGGTTGGGGCGGTCGGGGATGGCGCAGACCGCGAGGGACTACCAGGCGACGCCATGAGAAGCGAGGCAGCAGGCGGACAAGATCCCACGCAGTGCGAGATGCAGACAAATCTCGGTTGAAACCGACCACCGAACCGATGAAACCGAAACCGAGATCGTCGGTTTCTCATTTTCTCTGCAACCGATCGGTTGTGACCTTCTCCAAAACCGAAGTTTTCCCAGACCGAATAACCAAACCGAATTATCGGTTTAAACCGAATGCCCAGCCTGGCTCTATTCAACGCATCCAGCTCTTTGCCCATATATTTTTTCCGTGGCACCTGCTGTGCACTTGCAAATAATGCACCTAACAAGATTTCATTTGTAGAGTTAGTAGCAAATATATTCCAGATTTACTAAATAAGTATCAATCTGATTTTATTAGCATATCTGAATGTTGATGTGCACCTAACAAGCAATGAAGTCTACAATGAAGCATCATGATAGAAATAAATGAAGCCAGTAACTTTGATCTAACTTGCCTTCATCATTGTTGTTGATGTGCTCCTCATTTGGGCTTGTAGTAGTATTGGTAGATGCCAATGCATCATGTGTGACAATAGCGAGGCTTGGATTGGCAGCAGTCCTTTGCCTAGTAACTCTAGTAGTTTCCCCTTCTTGTGGTGCCACCACTCTCTTTGATGCTTTCGAACCTCTAGCAGAGAACTTGCCAATATGTTGGACATTCTTGTTACATACATCCTCACCCACCTTAGAAGCTTAGTATGAAGCAAACAAGAAGAATTAGACCCAAAAATAATGGAAGTGTTGTCACCAAAATGATAATGATCAATAACAATCCTTTGTACCATGCTGACTTCATCTTCGTCATGTTGGTTAGAGCCCTCGTCATCCTCAGGATTGTACAGAGATCTAGATTTTTCAGGAACATCATCCTTGTTCCTTGCACTTTTACCCTTAACTTGTGCAACTAGGGTACTGTGCCCAAGGCTTTGGAAGAATTGGTCGTTCCTCATAATGTTTTGATCCCTCTGTCTTAAATATTCAAGTGTCATTGCTTCTGTACATTCAATTAAAACAACTGTAAGGGAGCAGTCAGAGCAAAAAATAAAAATGTATGCTGCTGCTAGCAAAATAAAAACGTATGCTGCTAGCAAAAAGTGTATGCGGCTGCTGCTAGCAAAAAGTGTATGCCGCTGCTGCTAGCAAAAAGATCCTGTATTATTTACTATTTCTAGATTACCACTGATTTCCCACACATGCAAATGCTCCTGCAAGTCCTGTGTAGAACTTCTGAACTTTTAGATAGGCTGCGGATTCACCAAAAAGCCAGTTCAATATTTGCTAATAACTATCAAAGGATCTCCTTAGTCGTGGTATTCAGGATTGTTAGGCAACCATCCTTGCAAAGTGAAACTCTGCTTTCCCCCTATTTACCAAATTTAATTCTGGTTTTACTACTTTTGAAAATACACATATATAATGGATTAATAGCTGGATCTTACATGAAACTACTTAGATTTCTTATGTTTGGAAATCAGCTGAATATGTGTTGACGCATTCCATGCATGCAAATGTACAAGAATTTTCTCCTATAATGTACTAGTATACCGAAAAGGATGAAATGAATTGGAATATAAACCTTGCTGTTGTGTCACTGTTCAATGTTTTGTATATGAAAACTATCGATTTGCTTAAAAAACAATTAGTTTTCCTAATGTTAAGGGCACTCAAGATTTATTTTGCTTTAAACATTCTCTTCATATTTTAATAAACATAGAAATCTAGACCATAAAAAATGCATAAACATATTTTTTCTTGTGTATAGGATGGATCTGGTAAACTAACAAAATTAGTTTCAAGCCATATGGATCTACCATTATTTTCCTTTGGTTTTTCAAAAACCATGAATAAATGGTACAAACATACATGCTAACTAGCTTCTACTGTTCATCTTCTTGCATACGCGTAACAGAAAGAGGAGAAACGAACTCGTCCGTGCAGAGGAACAACAGGGCCGGCGACAGCCATCAACCAGGCCACTCCTCGCTCCAGATGGCCCTCACTCGCTGCCCACTCCCCCAAAAGCTCAAGCCGACGGAGGCGCACGGCCGTCGCCCACTCGCTGCCGCTGGACGCGGACTCGCCCACAGGCACAGGAACCAAAAACCTCTCACCCCAAACCCTAAGTTCGAACATCAGAACACAAAAAAAACAAATCCCATCGGCACCCCTCAGATCCACTCGTTGTTCCCTTTCCCGGCGCTCAAACTTGAGGAATTACATGTGGGCGTCTCAGCTGTCCTGTTAGTCTGCACCTTTCTCCCAGGAGGCATCTTGTATTTGGAGCAGAACTCGTCACCCAGCACTAGGAAGGAAGAGTGGTCGGCTGGGAGAGGGTGTGGTGGCGGCTGGAGCAGGATGGTGGAGCTGACTTCAGCATGGAACAAGGGCTGCGGCGAAGGTGGAGGGGGAGTGGTGGCGCAGGCACTGGAAAGGGGAGAGGGTGGCGGCTGGAGGCGCAAGGGAAAGGGGAAGGATGAAATCAGACTGGGATGTCCAGGGTTCCACTTCTTGTATAGGAAGTTTACTATAATAACCTTGATTTAAGTACATGAAAGACTTGTGACAGTGGACAGAAGTGGCAATTGGCCCAAAAAAGATGGCGGGGGAGGGAGAGGCTGGCGGGAATCGTTGGCGGGGAGGCAGGGAGGCAATTTTATTGTTGGCGGGGAGACAAATTTTTTGGCCAACGGTCAAATTTTTGCGCCAATTGTTGGCGGGGAGGCCATTTGCAGCTTTTTAAAGGAATATTAGGGTGCAATTTATCATTAAAGTAGAGAGAAGTAAGTATTTAATAATGATATGATAGAATTATGGGTTCAAAAAAGGTGAGAAATTAACATTGCAAAGGACTTTTGTAATATGATAAATTATGTGAGAACAATCTAGCCATCAATTTTTGTTTTTATTCAATGAATAACTATGACCCATGAACATTTGTCATATAAATCCGTCATAACCACGATGCCAAAATAGGTAATGACGATTTTGAATTGGACTTAGTGACAGGTAAAATATTTTCGTCATTAACTAAGATCGGCTCCTGAAAATCATCATTATCTGAATAATTTAGTGGCAAATTGCTCTGTCGTCATCATATAATCGTCATAGAAGGTCACATCTCTCGTAATGTGGGTAAAGTCGCGTGAGCCTATCACGACACGGTCTTGGGTGGACGTGATGTGTTGAGCCATCTTTTGCGGCTAAGTACAATGGTCAGTTAGGGGCATATAACGGATAAATGGGTGGGCGCAGAAGGGCAAATGAGTAAAGTCACGTGAGCTTGTCACAAGCAGTCTAGACGCGAAGTTACCACTCTAACTCTCTATGAATCAGTCCAGGTTCATCCCCCTGTGTGTAGACGCTACTTAAAGGCAGCACTGCAATCTTCGGCCTGAGTTCCCAAGCTTTGTCCGCTCGTGTACCTGCACGAGTGTAGCATCCGGTTTTAAGAACAAAACCAAATACACACCATATATGAGCCCAGGAAGTCAAATCTCGCATATAGCTACAAATGAACGTAATATCAATAGACAATGCTTAATATATAACATACTTAGTATAAAGGACATAACCTTAGATAGCAAATAGCGGAAAGACAACTTCGATCTTTGGGTGAAGACTCCAATTCCACAAGGACAACTGACTGGTTGATCACAAGCCTAATTCATCTAAACTCTAGCAATCTGGTACCCATCCGGGATTTTTCCAAAGATTTAAAAAGTAAAGCAAGCGTAAGTACATGTCGTACTCAACAAATATAACATAGGGTTCATGAGGCTCAAAAGGCTGACACTGGTTAACTGTGATTAGCTTTTAATGAGTCATGATTTTAGCAATAGGGTGGCAACAAGTTTATTCATAAGCCCATATAAACACATGATCAGGTAAACATGAATAATTAATAGCATAAACAGTAATCATTAGTGAGCATCTTCATCATCAGTATCATCAGTGTTCATCATCTATTTCGTAAGGGTTCCAAGGCCGCTCGTGACCATGAGCACGGCTGATATACCAGTTTTACACTCTGCAGAGGTTGTACATTTTCACTGTGAGTCGTGATTTACCCTTCCGCCCGAGGTAGCTAATCTCTTGACCCACTTCCAAGGAAGGTCGGTAGGGTTCACTATGAAGCCTTTCAAAGGTTCGTCTAACAAGTTAGGGCCAATAGATTCACTCGGCAAACAGATGTAGGAACCCCCTTCCCGATGGCACAATGGCACGCAGCCTATACACAAGGGGATAGAGGCTGTCCTATACCCGATTTGGCAAGCCATTCTTACGCCATAAAGGTAACCACTAACAAGCTAGAAAAGGTCCTCATACTGAGTTAAAGCCAGAGCCATGTAGCCCTCATAGTTGTACTATAAGTCCCGGATGATCACTTACAGATAGGTCCTTAGAGAGAGGAATCTAGAGTACCATAAAAACAGCCCAATGCTCTAGCCCCCTGGTTACATGTTACTAAAAAGCATCTTTTAATATTTATTGCATATACCATTAGTCAAGTTACAAGATCATGGCTTTAGTTGAGCACTAGCATCATACTACCCAATGTAATACCTCATAGGTAACAAGGTACGAGGTAACAAAGTACTAGGAAATCCTTAATGGTAATCAAGGTAGACACATGCAGCATGAATTAAATGATTAAAGGTGTATAGAACAATAAGGAAGATCACATGATATACTTGCCTTAAACTTATATCCTTCTTCTATTGATTCGTAGCCTCCAAAGAACTGCTTCTTGATCACCACGTAAAACTCACCGACTGGACAAGATCATTAAGCACCACACAAGCATCCAAACAAACATGCATAGCATTCAAACATAACTATACTAGAACAATACACCAATAAGTGAAAAAGAAATTGAAATCTAATCTACACATTGCTACGATCACACAGACGCGAAAAGCACGCTAATCGAAGCTACGGTGAAAAATATACATCTATCGATAGATTTGCTTCGAAAAGAAACTATAGGCTTTATTTATTTTAGCTATATAAAACATGTATAAGATACTTCAGAGAAATACCTTAATTGAGTTAAGTCAAATTATACTTAATTTAGAAAAATAAGGTAAAACTAATCATATAATTGACCAAGATGAAAAGCCTAAGTTACATTAATTAGAAAAATCCAATTGCATAATCATTATTCAAGTTAGGCATTAAACCATAAAATTCTAGAGCTCTTGACATTGAAAACATTGATACTAATGCGTAGATTATGTCATTACGAATCTAACGCAACTTGAACGGGTCAAAACGGAGTTAAAATAGAGAAGATATGGCCTAATGAAGATAGTGACAATTTTGTTAATACATGGAACTTGATTTTCGAATTTAAAATAAATAAAATCAAATTTTGGATTTGCAGGAGGACTGTGGATACTATTTTATCAAAAAGCAGGGGCTCTTTAGAAAAACTGCAGGGACGACGGGTTCTATATTAAAAATCCGAGGGGTTTTTTGGCAAAAAGCTAAGGGCAAAGGGGTACGGGCTAACTTGGGGTGTTGGATTAGATCTGGACAGCGGTGTAAGGAAAATGGACCCTAGGCCCATTTACTTTGGATTTTGGTGTTTGATGACCAACACAACCAAATTAGACTAATGAATTTGCAAGTGATTGTTTTGTAGTTCAATAGGGTGCAAGACGTGACTTGGACAAAGGCGACGTAATGATCCGATGATCAACACCATAAGCAAGACCTTAGAAGCACAAGAGAAGACCCAAGATATCAAGCAAAGTCCAAGCATGAAGATAGGAACCAAGCCATACGCAAGATCGCAAAGAAACGAACTCACAGAAGTGACCGGACGCTGGACTAGACGCTGGTAGCACGGTGACCGAACGCCCGATCAAGAGGTTCAGCAGCAGCAGTGACCGGATGCTGGACCAGACACTGGCGGCAGATCCACCAGACACAGGACGGCAGAGTCTGGTCGAGTACAGAGAGGTTCCAGAGCGGCGAAAATGTGACCGGACGCTGACAGCGTCCGATCAGTTGTTCGCGGCTCCAACGATCAGGACGACCGGACGCGTCCTGTCAGGACGTGATCAGCGTCTGGTTAGTAGCAGAAAAACAGGATTTTGTCCCCAACGGCTACTTTCTCAGTGGGGCTTATAATACAACCCCCAACCGGCCATTTAAGATGTGTGGAGCTAAGGAAACATATCAAGGGTGTTGATACACCATTTTAGTGATCTCCACTTGCATAGTGCTTAGTGATTCATTAGGTGATTAGCGTAGGTGCTTTGTGAAGTGCTTAGGTTGATTAGACCACCGCTTATGCACTTGCTCTAGGTTTAGGCCTAGTGTTTAGTGAGATTTGCATACCTCTTACTACCCAGTGCTTACGCACACCGTTGTTGTACATCGAGGGGCTTGTAGTCTTGAGACCACACCAACCGCATTTGTGGTGTGGCCGCCCTTTGTGTCTTGGAGGGAACAAGGCCCCCATGGCGTTTGGGCGGAATCTTGATAGTGAAGACGGTGGGAAGCATCCGAGAGAGGCTTGCTAGAAGGCACATCGGAGACCCACTTATGCGTGGGGAAGGCCCGAGGCTATCCACGGAGTTACGACAGGAGTTTGGCCCTTGCGAGGGGCTCCAACGAGGACTAGGGGGAAGCTTTGTGCGCTTCTCGATACCTTGGTAAAAAAATACGGAGTCATCGACGGAGTTTTTATATATCTCTACCTTGCTCTTTAGCTTCCGCATTTACATTGATTGTATTACTCCTTTTGCGGTAGAGATAGCAACACACTAGCAAAACCATAGTTGCACATTTAGATAGTTTATCTATTGCATAGATTTTGCTAGGGTTAGAAAAAAGATGCCATAGTTTAGAGTTAAAATTGTAAGTTGCCTAATTCACCCCGTCTTAGGCGCCATGGTCCCCTTCAAGTGGTATTAGAACCGGTTGGCTCAATTCGGACCTTTGGCATAACCGCCGTTGAGCCGACACTATTTAGAGTGGTTGGGATGGATACCTCTAGGCCTCCGCACTTTGACGGTACTAACTTCCCCTATTATAAAGCTAGAATGGCTTGCCACCTTGAGGCGGTTGATTTGGGTGTTTGGAGAGTCACTCGTGACGGGATGAAACCCATTAAGAATCCCGATAAACCCACAAAGAGCAAAGAAAAAGAAATGCATTTCAATGCTAGAGCTAAAAATTGCTTGTTTGAATCTTTTAGCATGGACGTGTTTAACCAAGTGTTCACTTTGAATACGGCACATGAAATTTGGTTAAAACTCCAAGAGCTCCATGACGGCACAAATAATGTCCGTGAGCAAAAACATTGTCTAGCTAAGCAAAATTATGATTCCTTTACAACGAATGATGATGAGCTTGTTCGTGATATGTATTCTCGTTTGAATCTAATTATCAATGAGCTCCATTCAATAGGATTAACAAAGCTAGATGACGCGGACATCGTGAGGAAGATCATCTCCGTGCTACCACAAAAGAAATATGCAAGCATCATCACCATCCTTCACAACATGGAGGACTTGAGCACCATGACCCCAGGC